GTATGCTATGCCTAATAAATCCTTGAGCATGGTTTTCCTGGAATGACAACAATGCAAGTATGTGACCTATAGTCTCATTTCACCCTGATAAATCTATGAGGTGGCTCCCTTTATCCTCCCAGGCATAAGTCACTTATCAGTCTGCTGGACCAGTGATGCCTGACAGATGTGCTTGTGAATGTACCCAGAAGTTATAGTAATCCTTTTTCCTCACAATTAAATCAAACACTGCTTATAAAGCAGGGTCTCTCAAAACAAGACAGGGACTAGAAAACCAGGTTCACACAAAATGAAATAGTTTAGAGCAGTGTATAGCTTGATCTCAACACATTCAAAGTGCTAAGAGCAGGGAGATACTTTTAACCACAATTCCCAGATTCACCAAAACTCTCCCTCAAAATTTATTGACAAATCAAGACATTCATAAACAAAAGCTAAGTATATTTGCACTGTTTAAAAAAAAATACAAGAAAGTCGCACAAGGTGAAAGAAGGATTCAGGCTGTCCTGAATCTCAATCTGTAGACCAGACTGGCCTCAAACTCAAGATCTGCCTGCCTCTGTCTTCTGAGTGCTGGGATCAAAGGTATGCGCCACTACACCTGGCTCTAAATTGTACTTTAATTCCTTTCCACCAGTTGAACGCTTTCCCTGAAGTAATAAAGTCTCCCTTTATTACATTTCTTAATCTGTTTATCTTACTGAACACAGGACTTAGCTCCATTCCACTTCCTCATGCCCCTTTTCTTCTCAAATTGTACACTGTGAATTTTACCTTGCTCAGCTTCTTCATTATAAATCTTCATTGGAATTACCAATAAAAAACACATGACAGAGTCCAAGTAGGCTGTTTTGAGATTTCCTCTGCCAATGGAATTAATCCAAATCTCTTCACTGTAGTCTCAAGCAGATTCTTCAGAGAAGGGCGAAAAGCAGCCACATCCTTCACCAAAATATCGTAAGAACTTTCTCTAAGCAACATACTAAAATTCTTCTCTTCTGAAACATCTTGAGTCAGGCTCCCACAGTTCAAATCACTCTCAGCACCACTGTCTTACATTCTCCTACTAGTATGGCCCATTAGGCAGTACTTAAAGCATTTCACTGCTTTCATAACCCAAACTCCCAAGGTCCAAATTCCTCCAAACAAAAGCATGGTCAGGCCAATCACAGCAATATCCCTCACAGCAATATCCCAGTCCTCGGTACCAACTTCTGTCTTAGTTATCTGTGAAGAGATACCATGACCATAGCAACTCTTATAAAGGAAAACATTTAATTGTGGGTAGCTTAGTTTCAGAGGTTTAGTCCATTATCATCATGGAGGAACATGGCAGACATGGTGCTGAAAAAGGAGCTGAGAGTTCTACATCTTGATCTACACACAGCAGAAACAACTGTGACACTGGGCATAGCTTGAGTATAGGAGACCTCAAAACCAGCTGCCACAGGACACATTTTCCCCAAAAAGGCCAAACCTACTCCAAAAAAAGCCACCCCTTCTAATAGTGTCACTCCCTATGGGGGTCATTTTCTTTCAAACTACCACACAGATTATATGTCCATCGGTGGCTAACTGAATAAAGAAAATGTGGTACATCTACATAATGGAATACTATTCAGCTGTTAAAAAATAAAATTCTCAGGTAAATGGATGGAACTAGAAAAAAATCATTATGAGTGAAGTAACCTGGTCCCAGAAAGACAATATGGCATATATTCACTTATACGTGAATGTGATGTGATGTGATGTGATGTGATGTGGAATGTCCTTCTATATGCTGCAAATATGCATTGTTTTTATTGGTTGATGAATAAAGCTGTTTCAGCCAATGGCCAGGAAAAATATAGCTAGGTGGTTAATCCAAACAAAGACACAGAGAGAAGGAAAGCAGAGTCAGGTAGATGCCATGTAGCTGCCTAAGGAATAACATGCTGGAGAATTACCAGTAAGCCATAGACTTATGGCAATATACAGATTAATAAAAATAGGCTAATTTATAGGTAGAGCTAGACAGTAAGAAGCCTGAGCCATTGGCCAAACAAATATAATTTAATATTAGCTTTGGTGTGGTTATTTCATAAGTGGCTATGGGGACCCAGCAGTCAGAAGAAAAACTGGTCCAGTGAAAATGGGCAAGACAGAGAAAAACATTCAACTAGATAGATGTTAGCTGTTAAGTCTCAATAAGCAGGCTACAATATATGTAACCACTGAGGTTAGGTAAACAGTAAGGAAGAGGATGGGATCACCCTAGGAAGGAGAAAGGGAATGCATAGATATATGAAAGCACTGGGAGGGATGGAATAGGAGGATCAAGCAGAGAGGGGGTGGGAAAAAGAATATGCAGGAGAGAATACAAAGAGAAACAGCTAAAGCTAAGAGCCACTTGAGGGGCTACATGGAAAGCTAATTCAGGAGAAACTTCCTGAAATATATACATATATGAAGGTGATCTAAATGGAACTGCCAAATAAAAATGGGGATAGAGCCTCAACTAGATATCTCTTATCACCAAATGAAGCCTCTAGTTCCAGACAGGCTACATCTAAATGAGTTGCTGGCCAAAAGGGCCCCATGGAATATCCTAAACAACCCAGGCTACTGTCAAGGCCATGGGCTGCTCTCCACAATGCCTGTCTAACTCATCGAACAAAGAGAAATTGACTAGTGCCCACCTAAACAGAGCCTTCAATCCTACAGGTTAGTATTTGTGGTACTGGAAGATGCTCTGCACATTCCCAAGGAAGAAAGGTAAACACCAGGCCATCTATAAACCCATCAATCTACAACAGCAAGATGCACTAGTGCAACAATGGCACAAAGCGTGTGGAAGTAACCAACCGATATCTGACTGGACTCACGGCATACTCCATAGGCGGAACCCATCCCTACCGTGCCCAGATGGCCACAGAACTGAGACTAGATAGGCCAGGGACCTAGGGGAAAACCAAGTACTGTTGTTCTGCTGAAGGAAAATAGCAATAAAATGGATCCTAAGAACATTCTGCTATATTCATAGATCAGTGTTTTGCTCGCCATCAGAGAAGCTTTCTCCTGTAGGAGGTGGGAATAAATACAGCAACCCACAGCTCAGTCTTAAGTGGGATGTCTCTATCAATTCCCTCACCTCAGGAACCCTGTGGAAAGAGTGTGACAGCCAAGGGAATAAAGAATGCCAAGGAAACAAGGCCCTCTAAACACAGCAGGATTGGTGCACATATGAAATGACAGAGACTGTGACCTTCACATGTATACTCTGACCTCTGCCCTACACACAAAATAAATATTAAAAACTTAGCTTATATCTAGGTGTGGTAGTGCACACCTTTAATCCTAGCATTTGGGAGGCAGAGGCCTCTGTACCTGTGAGTTTGAGGTCAGCCTGGTCTACAGAGTGAGTTCTAGGACAGAGAGACTACATGGAAAAAACCTGCCTCAAAAAAACAAAAGGAAAAAGAAATTATCTTACTATCAAAATGGAGTCCTGGGGCATCTATGGAAGATGGTGGGCGAGAAACTACCTTCATTTTAGCCAAGGAAGGGGAGAATAAAAAATATCAGCCTCTATTCCAAACACAGAAAGAGAAGAAGAGCTTCAGAAATCCAGAAAGGAAAGGAAAATGGTATCAGAAAAGTATGGGGAGAAGGACGAACAACAAACAGATGAGAAGTAAGGTTAACACAGTGTCATCTGGGCTCCCTGGCATGGGGGAAGGGAGCAGAAATCACTTCTAAAAGTTGAGAGATGAGCAATCCTACTCTCAAGCTCAAAGTCCTCACAAGTCTCAAACCCAGGGTGTTAGTTGAGACAAAACCGGGCAAAGATAAATCCCAGTTTTCTACTACCTGATGTGATGACTGCTGCCAGAAGGCATCCCAAGATGTGCTACCATGGGGACCTGAGAAAGGTAACAACCACAGGGAGAACAAAGGGAGGCAATTACAGAAGCAGCTGGCCAGGGGTTATCTTATCAACTGGGATTAACATTGGAATTTTTTAGACATGATGCTTAGAACAAGAACATATTAAACTCTAATGCTAACTACTGTTTGCACTACGGAGTCTAAGAAGTCTGACATTCCAGGGATGTACCTGAGACCCACATCTGCAATAGGTTTCCAAAGTCCAATGTATAATGTTTAATTTTATGTCAATTTGACTCAAGCTAGGTTCCTGGAGAAGAGGGAGCCTGAACTGAGAAATGCCTCCCCAAGACTGGGCTACAGGCAAGCTTGTAGGGCATTTTCTTAGTGATTGACGTAGGAAGCCCCAGCCCACTGTGGGGGGGGGGGCACTTCTGGGAAAGTGGTCCTGGGTTCTATAAGAAAGCAGGCTTAGCAAGCCATGGGGAACAAGCCAGTAAGCAGCACCACTCCATGGCCTCTGCATCAGCTCCTGCCTCCAGGTTCCTGTCCTGTTGGGGTTCCTGCCTTGACTTCCTTTGCTGATGAACAGCAATTTGGAAGCATAAACCAAGTAAGTCCTCTTACCAAGTTGGCTTTGTTTACCAAGTTCGATTACACCAACCTATGATGTAACCTAGTTAGTAACCCTAAGACACAATGACAGGGCCTTTACCTATATTGATCTCGATAACTGTGATTGTTTCCTATACTCCAAACACACTAGGCAGATACCCTCCAACTAAACATTAGTCACCCTGGGAATACAACCTAGAATATCCCTAGAGGGTGAAGAACCTGAATGGTATACCTTTTAATCACTGACAACAAATATGAATCAAGAATCATCATCAATCTATAATCCTTACGTTGTCAGCTAAAGCTTATAAAGATGTACCAAATGCACAAAACAATTAGTAAAGACAACCTCTTATCACACAGAGTTAAAGCTTAGAAGGAATCTTAGAGGACATTGAGTTCAAACCCTTCATCTTAAATGCTGAGACTCAACAAGCATCAAATAATCACTCCTGGTCACACTGTTTATGCATTATATAAAGTCATTCTATGTCACACATAAATACCTATCTTACCTTTCAGGTGATGCCTTAGAAGTGACAGGATGCCCATGGACAACTTTTTTGTTTTTGTGATCTAGACAGATGACTTTATTTCTTAGGCTTCTTGTCCACTAAGAAAAAAGTAAAACAAAACAAAAAAAAATTTTATAACAAATATAACATAACTAAAGGTACTTGTTTTTCTACTTAGATATTCAAAAGAGTCAAATTCCTATTTATTCCAGCCTAGACTGCAGAGCAAGTACTAGGACAGCCTCCAAAGCCACAGAGAAACCCTGTCTCGAAAAGAAAGAAAGAAAGAAAGAAAGAAAGAAAGAAAGAAAGAAAGAAAGAAAGAAAGAAAGAAAGATAGATTCCTATTAATTTGTATCTCATGTGTAATGATTGTTTTATCTACATGTATGTCTGTGAGTCACATGAGTGCTTGGGGCCTGAAGAAGCCAGAAGACAGTATCCGGTCCCCTGGAACTCATGTTACAAAGGGTTGTGAGTTACCATGTGGGTACTTAGAATCAAACCTGGGCCCTCTACAAGAGCATCAAGTACTCTACTCTTCACTTCTGAGCTATCTCTCCAGCCCCCCAGCCACATTCTTAGTAGTACACAGGGAAAATTAAAGGCCATCTACAAAATACCTGCCTTTTTCCAAGTGTTGAGATACAAATATACCAAAAACAGTAGGAAGACATTTTAAAATATTAACATTAGTTAAAAATCAAGACTGAGATTACAAAGCTTAAACAACAATAATAATTGCAACTATGTTATAAGGAAGTAGTAAGGAGTTAAGAAAGTAAATCAGTGGTACAACACTTGCTTAACGTGCACAAGGCAATGAACCAGCATATGCATGTTTTGATTGCTTCATTTGGAAATATGCTATCTGATATAGCAAAATTATTACATGCCAGGGTAAATAAGATTAAAAGTGGTTCTTTATGAATTGCTGTATGAGAAATAGCAAAACCCCTTCTCCGGGTTTAGGTTTCTTATGACTAGAATTTAAAACTTGGATTATTAGTTGAAATGATGGCACATGCCTGTAACTCTGGTACTCAGGAAGTGGAGGCAGAGGATCAGGTCAAGGCAAGCCCAGCTACATAGTGAGTTAAGAGACTACCCTAGGAAACATGAGACTGTTTTAAAAACAAAAGAAGTAAAAAGAAATTTAATATATTGTGTAAGAAATTTAATATATTGTGTGGACCTAAGCACGTAAGTTATTTTCTCTAGGCCTTTGTCTCCTTATTTGAAAATAGGCATAATGATAATAATAACTACTTTATTCTGTGAATATGTGCATGTGTGTCACTACCTTCCTCTGTTGTGCTCTACCTTCTTTCTGAGACCAAGTGTCTTTACTGAATGGAGGACTCACCATTTTGTTTAGGCTGGCTGACCAGTAAGCTGTCCTATCCCAGTCCCCCCAAAGCTGACACTCTGGCCATGAGCTCTGATACCCATGCTTGCACAGAGAGCACTTTCACCCACTGAGCCATCTCCCCAGCTGTTAGCAACTTCTTTGAAATGATGTAACATCATCTCAGATAAAGTTTTAATGTTACATACGCTTCATCTAAAAGATATTTGTACATATAGTAATACTGTTCATAATATTCAAAAGATGAAAGTAACTCAAATGTGCATCAAAAGAATGGTTAAACAAAGCAAGGCATATTATTTATGTGTAAACACGTGTACATTGAAAAAGTAAGCCTTACAGAAAGAGGAAGCTTCTGAGTCTGGTGGCATATGCCTGTAACCCCAGCATTTACAGAAGTGGAGGCAAGATGATCATGAGTTCAAGACCAGCCCAGTCACATGGTAAGACCATGTTTCAAAATATTTTCTTAAATGCCCTTCCCCTATAATGACACTGATGACTACCTTATATGCCATCCTAGAGCCTTCATCCAGTGGCTGATGGAAACAGAGGCAGACACCTACAGCTATACACTGAACTGAACTCTGGAACCCAGTTGCAGAGAAGGAGGAGTGATGAGCGAAGAGGTCAAGACCAGGCTGGTGAAACCCACAGAAACAGCTAACCTGAACAAGGGGGAGCGCATGGACCCCAGACTGATGTCTGGGAGGCCAGCATGGAACTGATCCAGACCCCTGAATGTGGATGTCAGTGGGGAGGCCTTGGCACTCTATGGAGCCTCTGGTAGTGGATCAGTATTTATCCCCAGAATGAGAAAGGACTTTGGGAGCCCATCCCACGTGGAGGGATGCTCTCTCAGCCTATACACATGAGGGAGGGCCTAGGCCCTGCCCAGGATGATATGACAGACTTTGGAGATCCCCTATGGTGGGCCTTACCCTCTCTGGGGAGCAGAGGGGGGGGACGGGTGGGGGGTTGGTGGGGGGTGAGGAAGGAGGGGAGGGAGAGGGAGCAGGAAGCAGATTTGTTTCTAATTTGAACTAATAAAAATTAATTTCCTGGAAAAAAAAAAAACATTTTCTTAAGAGAAGGAACACGCTACAATATGAGAAAATCTTGGCATTTAGTGTAAGTGAAATAAAGCAGCTAAAAAAGGCAAATATTGGATATTTCCATTCAAATCACATAATTAGAGTAACCAAATTTATAGACAGTGGAGTGAGGCTGGAGTGAGCAGACAATAAGGAACTATTATTTAATGGGTATAATATTTCATTTTTCAGGATGGATGGTCTTAATAGCTGAATAACAACAAAAATGTATGAGTCACTAAACTCTTAAATGTTTAAGTGGGCATGGAAAAAAATGGCATCCCCCATGACTTGGGGATTGTCCTGCTTATCTAGGGGCTTTAGGATGATGATCTTGGCAGCCAGCTCTGGTGACTCAGTCCACAGCTGTGGTTCCAATAGGAACCAGAAACATTTCACAATCCTACCCAAATACAGAGCAGCTGCTTTGGAATAAGGTAGGAAAGCAGAGTTGTGTAAACGTAAGTTTCTGTCCTGTCAGGTCCTGCAGCCATTCAGTAACAAACACACAGAGGCTTATATTAAATATAAATTGTTTGGCCTGTTTCTCAGGCTTATTACTAACTAGCTCTTACAATTCAAATTCACCCATAATTCTTATCTATTTTTAGTCACGTGGCTTGGTACCTTTTCTCAGTAAGGCATTCTCATCTTGCTTTGTCTATGTCTGGCTGTCAACTGTGTCTCTGCCTTTCCTCTTCCTAGAATTCTTCTCGACTGATCACACTGCCTATTCCTGCCTGGCTACTGGCCAATCAGTGTTTCATTAAACCAATATGAGTGACAAATCTTTACAGTGTACAAGAGCATTATCTCACATCATTTCCTCTTTTTTTTCTTTTCTAAACAAGAACCCTGAATCTAATCTCCTTTGTTTAGCTTTTTTCCTGACCATTATCCATAACAACTTGTAACCATCATGCTAAACAAAATCAGACATCCATAATCCATTTTTTGGTAATGTGGCATAGTTTTCTAGGCTAGGTTTTGCTTTGAAAAAATAAAAACAAAGAGGAATACAGATATGATAGGATAACAACAGTAGATTGTTGAATTTACTCTGAAAAGAAAAAAGGGAGGATAAAGATATAAGATTTAAAAAGTAGATTATTGAATCCACTGTTAAAAACCAACTATTAGTTTTAAATATTTTACATTGGATTGGATTTACACATTGTATACAAATGTTGAATATTAATACAAGTTTGAGACTAATTTTGTTAAAACATATTTACATACATTTCTAATATTGTTCAAAGTGTTGTACCTATACAGCTCATTTAACAATGTAATGAAAATTTCTGGTCCTTGAAAGTTATTATTATCTACTATATAGAATAATAAGTTTAGCAATAAATCAACAATTACAATAGAACTTGTAGTCACATTAGGTATGTTTACAAGGTCAAACATGTATTTTAGAAAGATGGGTCATCTTTAAATGCTTCATAGATCTACAGAATATGGCATTTAACATGTCTTAATAACAGGCTCTTTTTTATGACAATGAGGCATGTCTGCTCCAGACAACACCAATCTACATCAGAGAAGATGAGGGACATCGAAGAAACTCCACATGGAGTTTACTTTCTTTGTGGCAAAGGTAAGCCACTGGGCAAGAAGTGCCCTTGCCTCAACTGCTGACAGTATGCTGTCCAAACTGGACAAACAGGACACTGAAAAGAGTGGCTGCAAACCTTGCCAAGACAACATGGGACAGTCCTTCAGAAAATTCTGCTTCACAGATAAGTCAGATATGCTAGGCCTATAGGCCAAAGATGGATGCCACAACATTGCAGAGCAATTCTGGGTGACTGTCCAGGCAACCATCTGCTTCTGTCATTACTCACATTTTTGGGGAGTCACTTGCTCATACTTCCTGCTTACTTGGTTAATATTATTTCCTTATCGGGTCTCTGAGGGAGATGAAAACTAGGTAGTTATAGTTTTCCTTGTTTCCAGAAAAGAAACTCATGGGGGCTGGAGAGATGGCTCAATGGTTAAGAGCACTGTCTGTTATCCCAGAAGACCTGGGTTCAATTCCTAGCACCCATATGGCAACTCACAACTGTCTGTAACTTCAATTCCAGGGGATCCACCCTCACAAAGACATGAATGCAGGCAAAACAACTATGCACACAAAATAAAAACAAGTAAACCAAAAAAAGAAGAAAAAACCTCACTAAAGATATGTTAAGTGTAAAAGGTTTGAAAGACATTGAAAGATAATTTGATAATGCAAATTAGAAAAGAAAGTAAATTTAGGTACAAGACTTTGGACTCACCAAGAAAGGATAATGGAGTATATTCTCTGAATTTGTCAAATGCTAATGGACTAGACATTGTTGATGTACTTACTGCCTGTATATATTGTATATAGTTGTTATATGTATATAGTTTTTCTTATATTAGTTATAACCTTTTTTATTTTTAGACAAAAAAAAGGGGGATATGTGGTGGTATCTTGCTTGTATAGATAAAGTTTGTCTGAAGATCAGAAGATGGAGCTTGCCACTAGCTAACCATGGAGGTCTGGATGTCTGTACAGACAGACAGGAAGTGAGATGGCTAGGCAGAGAAAGGATATAAGCGAGAAGAAACAGAACTCGCTCTCTTTTCCACTAGGAAGCTAATA